CAAGGGCCCTTGTTAACCCAGTCGACGACCGAGCCGGTATGGAATTATTCATAGGAGTGTTCATCATAAGAATAAAAGAGGCACGTGAAGCTATATATTATAATGACCATGCAAGTGCCAGTACATGGGCTAACAAAAGTAGCACATGATGTAAAAATAGTGAATAACCCTGCGTGTGCTAGCACATGGCTAACCTACATACAAAAAAACTAAAATAAACATAGGTCTGCTAGGATAACTCCTAAAGGAATTACTTACACCAACCATAGAGGCCTGCATAGGGGACTTGCACGAAATAACCGGCTGTCCACCAGTGTACAAAACCAGGGCTGTACATAACAATTCAAAGTAGACAGACTGCAAATTATAGTAGTTGCTAAATAATGTATCTACAACAACAAATTTTGACATCGTGCGCGTTTTTAGCTCATTCAACTGATTGGCTGAAACACTACTACCTTTGTCAAATTCAAACTTTTTCAAGACCAATGCCTTCAAAATCATTCTGCTAAGAACTTGGAAATGTGCAAGGACTGATTTTATATGGTCGTCAAAGAGAACTTGGTTTACAATAATCAGCAAAAGGAAGTGTTTTTAAATTCATCCTTGACTATGAGAACTTGGCGTTTACAAGAGGCGTTTACAAGAAGTATACTGCCATTTTGAAATCAGGAGAACGCTTTGCGCAGCCAAAGATGAAAGACACTGGCTAAGGTTGTTAAAACGACTGTTCATCATTGTCTGTTCTGGAGACCCCATCAAAGCTGGATTTATGGAGAACGTTTTGAGATTTAAAACCCGAAAATGAAGGAGGCAATTGTTTTTCTTTCAATGCTGCCATCAACGGGTGAGTGGAGCCAGTATTAATATAATATTTGTTTTTTCTCAACGCTGGGGTTTCATTATTTCATTTGGCCTACTGCTAAAATCATGGTAGCTCTTCTTCCTCGGCTTCATCGTACTCATTAAGGAAATTTATACCTCTGTGGCCTGTGACATTGGCGATATGTTCTGTACTCACAATCTTTGCTTTCTCCAGCTTCCTGACTCTTGTTTTTCTTGCACAATGATTCGTAAAAATTTTCTCACTTTCTTTAAGGCTAGTACCAGCTACGGATACTTTCATTATATTAGTTATCGTATTTTCACCCATTGATTTAGTTTGGACCAGATGTTTAAATTTGTGGGTTTCGTTTGCTGCTTAGGTAGAAAAAAAAAAACAGACCATCGCATGGATGTTTTAACAGAGATCTTCGCTCCACCAAAGACTCAAAGAGAGTAACCAGACACCTTTCTCCTTCAACAAATAACGTACGTGACCTGAAATCCCTATTGTTATCATGGAAAACTTGTATCCTTGTATCCTTTAAATGCCTGAGAAGTGTAGCTGTCGTGGTTTGCATGTGATTGCAACCATTTTTGTTCTTTATTTTTTTACTTTAGCATGGTCTGTTGCAAGTAGCGTGTTTTTTAGTTTCTCTGGCTCATTTTCCTCGATTTTGTTTACATTTAGCCAGAAAAACGCACTTTTTACTTAGTTCAGGTTTTTGGAACATTATTTTAACTTTTCTATTGTTGTTTTGCGTACAAAATTAAATCCCGTCATCATCTGCTGAAAACCAGAGCCATTTGCTTGAATTTTACTGTTAAAAAAGCTCTAATATGATTGGTTCTTGGTGGTTTCTTTTGTGTTTTCAGCCAATCAGAAACCATGTGTAATTTGCACTCATGTTACAAGTTTGCACTCGTGTTTCAGAAGAACTGCACTCCTTTCTCAGCCAATCAGAATTGAGTAATTTTTTCTGTATATAATTAAACTGGTAAAACTGCCCAAAAAACATGTACAACTTTTTCTGCCTTTAGAACAGTCACTATGCCTAGAAGTCAATATCGACAGCAAGCTTCCTGCTTTAAGTTTAGTTATAACTTATATAACTTAACATATTGTCTGACAGTTACTCCAGGCTGTCAACCGCTTAGTTATTCCATATTGATGTTACAACATGAACTACAGGTATCTGACAGATGTTCTGGATCAAACCAGTTCTGTACCTCTGTACCTCCCAGCACTTCCTTTATTAAGTTATTGGTAGAATTATAAACAACTTATTATGGAGGCAGCATGGCAGAGTGGTCAGGGTGTCGGACTCCAATCCTGCGGTCCCAGGTTTGAGTACCGCTCTGGTGACTTAGTGGATTTGTTCTCGGTCGTCTTGAGTACAAATCCTCAGCCATGCTCTTAAATAGCCATATGGTTGCATCCTGCCAGTTGGGGTTCTTAATCCTGTAACGTTGTATTTGAATTATTTGTTTCTAACTATTTGAGTGGAGTGCCTGAAAACTAGGTAGATAAGCTAAGTGCACCTTCCACTATAAACACGGCTTTAAACTTAAATTCCATCCAAACTTAACAGAAATTATTTTATTAAAGGGGAGACATTTCATTCAACAGTGACTCTTGTCTACATTTTGCAATAAGCTGCCTTACTGCTGCATGGAATGCAGTCAAATGAAATGCATTGCGTCCAGGTTCTTCCACAAACAGTTTAGCCACCCACTGTATACATGCTGCACTAACCTTCTGACTTCTCTTCCAAGAACTGTGTGCCACCATTCCATAAACTTCAATTTTCTTCTTAAATTGCGACAGCTGTAGTATTTAGTTGCGTTACTTGTGCCAAGGACAGAACATTCTATTTTGCTTTGTGCAAATTCCCTTTCATCAACACATCCTGCTGAAGGCCCCTGCAGGCCTTCCACGTTCCTCACAGAACTCCTATTTCTACCACTTCCAATATAAAAGACGCGATATGGTTCAAATTATTCTGTCCACTGAAAATGCAATTCACCAAATTTCCTGATAGATTTCGTCCATTCAGCTTTGGTAGCCACAATAGTGCAGACAGAAAACTTGCAGTCTCCTTATCTTAACTAAAACTGTTGGTTTGTTTAATTGCGGCTTAGTTTTTTTGACAGCTTTACTTTAATATTTTGCCGAAGAAACAACCTTTTCTCAAATCTACAGTTTGTTAATGAGTGATTTACCTGTCCTGTCAACATCTAAGTTGTCATCTTGGACAGACCACAGGAAAGTATAAAACAGCATCAAAACACATCACACGAGAGTCATGTAGTAAACCACAAAATGCAAAAGCACAAAAGCAAAATGTGATACTGTCCCACTTTAGCCCTCACCAACACAGGCTTAATCACAGCTCATTACCCAGTCCTTTTTCCATTTGGGAAGCCCATTTCCGAGATTCTTGATGTGCCTTGTGTACCTTAAATTTGAGCAGATTGATGCCTCTTAGGACAGCGAGTCTGAAAGCCTTTGATAAAAATCGAGTTCCATCAGATTATCCCTGTTGAGTTTTCAACCTACATAACACTGCATAGTATTAACAGTCCATTTTAAGGCCTGTCTTTAGATAGTCAATACATAAAAAGTCAAGATCAGAGCCTTGTCTTAAATACCCCTGAATGATTCAGGTTACTGATCCTATTCCTACCGGCATGCCCACCACTTTGTTGCAATGTCCATCTCCTCCTTATCGTGATGGCTGACCAGAAATTGGGACCATGTATTTCCAGGAGGGATACTCTTATGGGTGGCAACGAGGGCTGCCAACCTGCTTTCGAGAACAGGCTGTATAACAATTGCTTTGGCTACTTTTCTGAGCTCTGTCCAAAACTCAGAATGATGTTATATGAGCTCCTCACTTAAGATCCTTGGGACATTTTCTGCCATTTTATCAATATTCTTCAAACAAGTTAGCTTGATTTTGTTCCACAAAACAAGCTGGCACCGCAGACTTTGTACGTCCTACTTTTGCTAGTAAGCCTGTGTGTAGTTTTCTGTAAAAATCATTCATTCTCTCGACACAGGCTTTGTTATACAGTAGTAACAAATGTCATGTGACTTAGGATACTTCACGTGATGAACATTAACCTTACTTCCCCCTTTCGGGAAATCAAAAGTAAACTTTAATCAAATGAAATCATTGTATATTCTATGTTGCAAAAAAAAATCAAACTGAATGAAAACTCATATGTATAAAGTCTTGGCCTGGTTTTCTTACTTTTGTCTCCTTAGAGTCTTTCTATGACGTTCCCATTTCCATCATAAAAAAGTCAATTCAAATTATAGCCGTTCCTTTAGCTCATATAATCAATTTATCTATCTCTCATGGCATTGTTCCCGACCATATGAAAATTGCTCGCGTGATACCACTCTTTAAAGGCGGTGATCGATCACTCTTTACGAACTATAGACCGATCTCGATTCTCCCTAGCTTTTCTAAGTTTCTTGAAAAGGTTGTTTATAACCGTCTTTATAATTATTTAAGTAAACTAGAAATTCTATGTGATAATCAATTTGGCTTCAGGAAAAATCATTCAACTTCTTTAGCATTGATTGACCTATATGAAAAAATCTCCCCTGCTCTTAATCGCAATGAACATGCCGTTGGCGTTTTCCTTGATCTTTCTAAGGCTTTTGATACCGTCGATCATAATATTCTGCTTGACAAACTCGAACACTATGGTATACGTGGCGTGGCTCTGGACTGGGTTAGAAGCTACCTCTCCAACAGGTTGCAATTCGTTCAATTTAACGGTCAATGCTCCTCTCCTCAAACTATCTGCTG